TTGGAACTACTCTTGAACTAATCTTAAAAGTTAAGGATTATCTCTCCAAAAATTTTGACATGAAAGACTTAGGTCTTGCCGATATGATACTTGGAATGAAAATCACTAGAGACACTAGAGGAATATCCTTGAGTCTTTCTCACAGTATTGAGAAAATGCTGATCAAATTCAACTTTCATAACTTTAAATCTGTTTCCACACCATATGATTCTTCTATACCCTTGAAGAAAAATGAAGGTGAATCTGTCTCTCAATTGAAATATTCCCAAATGATTGGATCCCTTTTATACATATCAAACCGGACTAGACCCGATATAGCTTATGCTGTAGGGAGATTGAGTCGGTATACCAGTAACCCTAACCCAGATCATTGGTCTGCCTTAGAAAGAGTATTTAAATACTTAAAAGGGACAGTTGACTATTGCTTAACTTACACTGGATACCCTGATGCCATTGAAGGGTATAGTGACGCCAATTGGGTCACAGATTCCAACAGTGTAAAGTCAACATCTGGGTATGTATTTCTTTTTGGTGGTGCTGCTGTATCCTGGAAATCATGTAAGCAAACAGTAATTGCCAGGAGCACCATGGAATCTGAATTGATTGCACTTGATACTACTTGCTCAGAAGCCGAATGGTTAAAAGATCTTATCTCTGAACTTCCTTTGGTCCCTAAACCTTTTCCTCCAATTTCCATTCATTCTGATTCTAGATCTACCATAGAGCTTCTAAAGCAAGTACATGTAAATAAAAAACTCAACAGACATATTCAAATAAGATATAAGTCTGTACAACGCCTGTTAGGCAAAGTTGTGATCTTGGATTTTGTAAAGTCTGAGAAAAATATTGCTGACCCTTTGACTAAGGGATTATCCAGGAGTGTAGTCCTGGATTCATCGAGGGAGATGGGGTTAAGTCCATTAAAGAGGTCACTGACAGTGGGAACCCAACCCTTATTTGGAGACGTTGTCCCAATGTCGGTTCAATGTGGTAGAAACAAGCTGGACTAGTGATACTCGGGTGGAGCATCGACCCATATATATATTCATATATCATTATGTAGTGTGAGCTACTACCCCTTCTCTATGATGACGATGCTCCTATGATACAGCTGGTTAGGCTGAGTTTTACTCTTAATAAGTCCAACGCATGTATTATTGGGGGGTATTAAATAAACAGCTGTAGTACCCTTTGAGGACTTACCTACGTGAGAGGAATCGTGATGGCCGCGGTTGGGGGGGCTGGACTAAACTAACCCCTAGAAACTCTCATGAGTCGGTTATTGTGAGCATGGCCTTTTAACGCTCAACCCGCTTTGCTCAATAGATGAAGTGTATTGTGTGTGTTTTTGTCAATACCTGATTCAAGGGCCCTAATTCAAGGCTTAGTCCATTATGTCCCTCAGGTGGCGACAAACTCACTAAGGAAAGGTTCAAAGCCGGAAGCTACCTTTCCCGAATTCACGATACAAAAGGTTGCCCAACCTATATATATATATATATATATATGTTTTACTAATTGTTTTGTCTATATTGCCTTTTGGGGGGACTGTTAGCATTTTCTTAAGGAAAAGGCAATTGTGAATAGTCCCACATTGGAAGTTGAAGAGAAGTTCAAGTGGTTTATAATGGTTCACTTCCTAATGGGCTTTGAGTAATGTTTTGGGCCTACTAGTGTTTGAGCTCTTTCTCCACACACGCGCGCGCGCACGCACGCCACGCCTCGCCTCGCCTCGCCACGACACGACGCGCGCGCCACGCCGCACCGCACTCGGGTTTTGCTTCTCCAGCTTTTATTTTTTGTAACGGCAGGATTTATTATGTAACGGCAGCATTTATTAGCCCAACGGACGAGGAGATTCAGCATCGGTTACTGGTTCATGAGGCTATATAAGGAGGCAGAGTTCATTCGGGAAAACACACAGAAATTCACAAAGAATTTCATAGCTCCCTCTTCCTCCTTCTGCTACTCTTAGTACTCAAAGATTTTCGGCTACATATTTTGAGGATTATTTTTGGGCAATCATCTTCATCTGAGCAGAAGCTCTGCTACTCGCGCCCGAGTAGAGAGGCCGGCCGTTTCCGGGGGGCTTTTACCGCTAGGGGGGAGGATCAACTACGCCAGGGCGACAGGCGGGTCCTCTATCTTCTAGGGCAGTGTATCACGACTGCACCCCGTTCAGGCCTGATTTTTCATAACTCATTTATTTTCAGTTAAACTAATATTGTTTATTTTGATAGCAAATTGAATTCGCAATTAGTAGTTTACAAGATGAAGAGGAAACCAAGGAGATTGATTGTGACTAATCACCGTGAGCAAACCGGTGGAAGAATCACCGGTGGAGGTTCAGTCAATTTGTTTTGAAGGATATGGGCACTGAGATGACCCTTATAGCAACAAAGAGCCTTCCAGGATTGGGACTCTAGTTAGGGCCACAACCCTGCGTTACTGAGTCTACTGATTCAAGGCCTAGTCGAAGATATCAAATGGGAGCGAATCATTTAGAGAGGAAGAATGAGGCGGTGGTTTCAAACAGAGGAGAAGGGGATGTAGATGGACACCATACACTATCGGGCAATGGCGCTGTGCAGATTAAGACGAGTTCTCTGGGGAACTAGCCATTAATATGGATGAGGCGAGGCTGAACCCACTAAGTATATGGCAAGGAAACTGTTTATATTTTGTTCCTCCCCTTCCGCTCCACACGCGTGCGCACAAACACACCAAAAAAAAGAAGAAGAAATCCATTGAGAAAATGGTAGTCTGTCACCACTCACCAAGTGTTTTTCTCTCTTCACGCCCATTTGATAACTATAACTAGCTCAAAATCCTTTAGAAAAATAGCATGTTCCTGTAAAGATTTTATGCTTTGGAAGTTAATGCTGGAAATGCTTTATTGTCCAGATGTTCACTGCTGTGACGAGTTGGCAATGTGGCACTGCAAAATTGGTTTCCTTGCATATAACCTTTTAGTTACTTTGCAGACTTTTCATTCTGCTCTGTTACCTTCCTTTCTACAGCACCTTTGAATCCACTGGGCAAACACTATTTTGCTACAGACGCATGTGTTTCGG